TTATATATATACTTTTTTAAAATAAATAAATTTCATTATTTAAGAAGCAATGTTTTAAAGCTGCTTTGACTCTGCTTGTAAGAGTGAGCCCGGGCAGGTAGAGAGGGATACAATTTTTAGAAAACATTTGACGGCACTTGCAACAAAATAAAGTCATGTAAGTGCCACAGTGATACTCTTTTCAAGCAGAAAACGAACACATTCGAATTTATTTTTTTTAAACAACTTCCAATATGGGATTCGAACTGGTGTCTTCTGTGCGCGATATCGAAGGAAACGCATAACGGCTACAGTACAGACGCCAAACGAGTTTTAAGGCACTGGCAACACAATAAGGTTATATAAGTGCCCGAGCGCTATAGTTGAAGGATTTTAAAACATTAGTTCGCGAGTACTAACTATAGTGCGGTCAAAAATTCGTGGTGCAACTTATAATCAAATATCGCTTTAACGGTTAAATCAATGCCATCCATACTTTGCATAGCAGTTTGTACCAATTTGTCTTAACTAAATCATATTTGGGGCTAGATTAAAAAACCTTTCTTCATAAATTAATATAAAATACATGAAATCTCTGTCACACGTAAAATGGTATTGTTCATAGCACTTCCCGCTTCTCACACACATTTTGATTACGCATATGGCTTACGTCACAGCTAATCAAAGACAATTTTTACCACCACCACCACTCCCCCCCCCTTTTCCCCCTCACTCTCCCACTCCGACAAACACACGTCAATATACAAATGTACGACCTAAAAGTACTCGTGCTCGATGTTCTTATCCTTTTTCAATAAAACTCGTCAATTGCTTGACCTACTGAACACTCCCCGGGTTCTTCACTCTCCGTGGGGCCTGGCGTGGGTCACCGTGACGTCATGCCACAAAAACGCTTCTGATCCATTTTTAATTCATAAAACGGGTAGGGGGTGCAATTTTTTTTTGTTGCGAAATCTACTAATTTACCTTCTGTCCTATCAAACATCTATCGCCTTTATCTCCGCTCCTTTTTCTTCTTGCTTGTTACCCTCTTCGACATTTATATGACCTTACTGCGTTGTAAAAGTCGTAAAATGTTTACTAAAACTAAAGGTAATCTACTTTTCCCGACTTTAACACACAATCCAGTGTTTACAAACCTGTATGGTACATCGACCACAAATGAGCAAATTAGTCATTTTGGTGGGCAGTGGGAATAATCATTGTAGTGACAGGTGTAATGTTAAACCCCGCTTGGTAATACCTGTGGGTGGTCGGAGCGACAAATGTATCCTCTTGAAGGTGGCAAAAGGGAGCTGGATATTATGTGGAAGCTGGCGCTCGTCAATTTGTGGGCATGTGAAGTTATTGGTAATTATCTTAAAGCTAGGTAATTTGTCTTTTTTTTTAGATTTTAAAAAGATATTCATCAATCTTGAAGAGGCACAGAGATATTTGCAATTGAAATTGTTTCAGTAATAGTTTTACGGCGCTTGCAACTGCATACGGTCTTATGAGCATGCTGTGATTGAAGGGAGTGGGGGTCGCCAGGTTTCTGACGTAAAATTAACGAGAAAATGGCCACGAAGCTTTGGTGACCTCCATTGCCTGAGAGTCCAGGGAAATGTACATTTGTTGTGCTTTTAATCAGAGTTTTTCAGCAAAATCAACCCAGAAATTATGTAAAAGGTGTTGAGATCCCCCACCCCTAAAATAATAATAATAA